AAGCCCGGATTAGGCCAGAACACATAAAAGGGGACTTTCTGGTACTTTTTCGTTCTACAAAAGGTACTTTTTGAATTTTCTATAATATTGAACCTAGAAACATGAAATTAAGTATGTAGAGCCCTACAAAAATTGACTTTTTTTGGTACTTTTTCGTTCTACAAAAGGTGCCGTCATGAAATAACTCCCTACGAAATAACTCCCCAAAACAAAAATTAAATAACTCCTCAAATTTGGGGACTTATTTAATTATGAAATAATTCCTCAATTTAAAAATGAAAAAAAGCCCCAACGAAATGAAATAACTCCCTAAATTAAAATGAAATAACACCCCATTTTTGGGGATTTATTTCATATGAAACAAATCCCTAATTTTAAAATGAAATAAGTTCCCATTTAAAAATTCGACATCTGAAGATAAAAATAACAAATTATGGAACAAGTCGGTTTTAGTGACATTTCTAAAAAAAGTAGGTTGCTCATACTTTCGAGTGGGGCTTCAAAGTTTAATACATTTCAATTTAATCGCTTAATAAAGATATCCTAAATAGCCGGCCTGTGGCCGGGCGTAAGGTCTTTCTACTCTATGGTATGTCCAACAACGGCTTCGCTTAATAAATATTTCCTAAATAGCCGGCCTACGGCCGGACGCAAAGATTTACCACTCTATAATATGTCCAACACCGGCTTCGCTTAGTAAAGATTTCCTAAATAGCCGGCCTTAGGCCGAACGCTCTTAATACAGGGAGAGTGTATTCTTAGCGAAGCCGGTGTTCAATATGACCCAGAGGATAAAACACTTGCGCCCGGCCGAAGGCCGGCTATCAAACATACTATATTTTTTTATTTCGTGTGATAAAGTAATGTAATGAAATAACTCCCCAAAAATATTTTTAGGGATTTATTTCATTTTGGAATTTTGAGGAATTATTTCATAATGAAATAACTCCCCATTTTAAATGTGAAATAATGCCCCAAAAAGCGAATTAAATCTCCAAATTTCGTTGTTGTTGTTTTATGAACAAATTTTTAGGAAGTTATTTCATTTTTGTTTTGGGGAGTTATTTCGTGGGGAGTTATTTCATGACGCCACAAAAGGTACGCAGGAAAGGCGTCATGAAATAACTCCCCACGAAATAACTCCCCAAAACAAAAATGAAATAAGTCCTCAAATTTGGGGACTTTTTTCATTATGAAATAATTCCCCAATTTAAAAATGAAAAAAAGGCCTAACGAAATGAAATAAATTCCTAAATTAAAATGAAATAACACCCCATTTTTGGGGATTTATTTCACATGAAACAAATTTATTTCACATGATAACAAATTATGGAATAAGTCGGTTTTAGTGATATTTCTAAAAAAAGTAGTAGTAGCTTAATAAATATTTTCTAAATAGCCGGCCTACGGCCGTACGCAAGGATTTACCACTCTATAATATTACCACCACCGGCTTCGCTTAGTAAAGATTTCCTAAATACCCGGCCTAAGGCCGAACACTCTTGATACAGGGAGAGTGTATTCTTAGCGAAGCCGGTGTCCAATGTACCTCAGAGGATAAAACCCTTGCGCCTTGCTATCAGACATATATTTTTTATTTCGTGTGATAAAAGTAATATAATGAAATAACTCCCCAAAAATATTTTTAAGGATTTATTTAGTTTTGGAATTTTGAGGAATTATTTCATAATGAAATATCTCCCTATTTTAAATGTGAAATAATGCCCCAAAAAACGAATTAAATTCCCAAATTTCATTGTTTTTGCTTTCTGAACAAATTTTTAGGGAGTTATTTTCGGATGTGGACCATATATGGGAGCTATGACCGATTTGTAGCGATCCGGAACAAATTTCGTAGAGTAATTCATATATACACAAAACACATTCATGTCGAATTTTATCCAGATAGCTTTATTTATCTATGAATTAAGTTCGATTAAGTGATTTTCGGATGTGAACCTTATATGGGAGCTATGACCAATTATCGACCGATCCGGAAAAAAATTCCATAGAGTGATTTATGTATACACAAAACATATTCATGTCGAATATGTTGATACCGATATATTTGAGGAAGTTATTAACGATAAATTAATTTCCGGGAATATGTACCTTTGTATGGAGGCTATGGGAAATTTTGGATCGATTGTTACAATTTTAAACATAATTAATCTATAGATGATAAAAATAATCTGTAATAAAATTTGTCGAATTATCTTCGGTAGCTTCTGCGCAAACTACTCAAGAATTAGGGAAAAAAACTTAATTTTTTTTTAGGTAGTCTGAAATTTTTACTCATAACTTTTTACGTTGTGAATCGATTTTACTGATTTTCAATACCAAACTGCTTAGGAAAACAAGGAATATTATCAGTGAATTTGGTTGATTTCATTTGCTTAGTTTTAACATTTGCGTGTTTTAACTAGACAGACGGACATAGCTAAATCGACTCAGAATTTCATAAGGACCCAGAATATATATACTTTCCCAGTTGGAAATTATGTCTTAACGACATAGTCAGAAGTGATTCTTAACATACAAGTCATCAGGTGATGACATTTTACATTGGACGACTTAATGACTTTTCAGCAGCTGACTACCACTGATAATAAACGTAAGATGTCTTAATGACTTGGCAGCATTTGTCATCATCGGCCTATTTTTAAATAATAAGGAAACTGTAGTGTAGTGGTGATGTATGTTTGGTATGTTATAACCATACTAAAACATAACAAAAGAAACTGGTGTTGCCAGAATGGTAGCGGCGCTGGTATGCTCGCGTTTGCCGGGCTTGGAGCTCGCCGGATGGGTGTGGTTCTTGCTACCACTCTAGACATCTACACACACACATAAAAAAAATCATACCAGCTAAAAATAAACAAACTAAAAATATAAATGGGCACCGAGTAGGTTTCTGTCTGTCTCCCTAATGAAAAGGTACCTACGAACTAGAAATCTGGCAGATGTTGTGCCAGGTTAAACCCTCCCACTCTGGATTGGATAATCCCGCCATGACATCCTAATATTAGGGATGTCCCAATATTTACCCTGCAAACTTTCCTTTCCCTACTTACCGCCGCTTATGTTGTTTAACCGATCATTTTAACTGATTAAAACTTTTAAAAATTTAATTTAAACATTATAAAAGTTAGTCTTTATTATCGAAATTATTCTCAAACAAATTTAAAATTTAATTTAGTTTTAATTTTAAGTTCAGGCTTTCAAATTTAGATTTAGCTTTAGTTTCAGGTTTAGATTTAGGCTTTAAATTTAAATTTAGCTTTAGTTCTAGGTTTAGATTTAAATTTAGGTTTTAAAATTTAGATTTAGCTTTAGTTTTAGATTTAGGCTTTAAATTTAGAATTTAACTCTTGCTTTAGTTTTAGGTTTAGATTTAGGTTTAAATTCAGGATCTCAAATTTTACGTTTACGTTTTTTTAAAGGTTCATGATTTCGCTTGGGGATAAACGGGATCTGGCAAGTGTTTTCTGCTGCTACTAGTTGGTTTACGGAGGCAATTACCGTGATGGAAGTTTTATGGCGGATGGGGCTTTCCTGTCCGTCCGTATTGCGTCCGGATGTATAGGTATTCACGTAAGTATATACAAAATATATTTCACAAAATTCCTTTTACTTAATTTTCTATTTTTTTCTTTTTAGGAAACTACTTATACATTTTTCGGGAAACCTAGAAATTAAACACCGCGATTTGACTACTATAAAAGGCTAGAGCTCTATCCTAACAACGCGCACTTGTGGGTATCAATTCGTCTTCCACGCGGAATGGAAATGACGTATAAAAGACGAGGTAGGAACCCTTATTTATAAAATTGTTTCAATATATAAACTTTTTTTGTTTGTTTTTGTTTTTTTTTTTTTAAATAAAAGGAATCGTCAGAAGTCCGTCTAGTCGTCCAGGTAAAATCACTAAACTTAGTCGGAAAACCAAAATGATACCAGAGCACCCCAGGCGTGGTGGTGCTGGAAAGCAGCTTCTCCCTCGTTGAATGGAGTCGTGTTGCAGTGGCTTTGCAGGTTTGTTGTTTTGTTTTTATTTATTTTAAGGTTTGGTTTTAAGTTTTAAAAAAATTTCTTGAATAAAATTTATTTAATTTATAAAAAATCAAAAATTTAGTTTTTTTTCTTATGATGGCCACAGACTCCACCTTCTTCTCTATGTTGCGCAAAAAATGAAAAGGAACGACATTTTTCCTTTTTGGTACCGAGAAACCTCGGTTACCAACATGGCTTCCTAGCTTTAAAAACTTGTTCAGCAATTTGTTTGCCTATTTACAATTTTTTTAAAGCTATTTGTTCTTGTTCGCATTTCCTCTTCTTCTTCCCAAATGCAAAAAAAATTCCCCTTTTCTCATTATTGCCACCTGTTTTGTGTGCTTCTTCTTTAATTTAGTAGCTCTACTACAGGGTGCACACGACAAACCCCACCACTCCTGTTATCCATCCCTGGATATAGGATGGAAGGGGAAAAAACGCACTCTAATATTTTGGGAACTACCCTAATGTTTTAAAACTTTTCTGGGATTTTGGGTATTTCATTATTCCCATACAAAAAATTTGCACTATGGCAACCCTTATTCATTCGAGAACAAAAGTACAACTCTGTATCGCCGTTAAAAACTGGTCAGGCGGCGACGTACTGTGAACAGCTGCTTGAATGAATGGAAAAGGAGGAGGCAAATAAGAAAAATACTACGCGTGGGTGAAGAAGAAGCACCCAAACAAAAAAAATATTATCAATGGAGACAACGAGGTAAGTAATTTTTTTGGTAAATAAACAATAAAATAATAAAAATATTAATTTAAATTGTTTAAAATAATATAATAATTTTTTCTTTTGTTTCTTTACAAGTTCTGGTGGAGATTTATGGCCAATAAAGGGGATTTTAAACAAGGTAAGTAAAAGTGTTATACAAATGGAAATTTTATTAGTGGTGTTGTTAACTAATACAACCAAATTTTTTTCTTGACAGGGATCATGTTGGCTGCCTTGGGCCTATAAAAAAACTTGATGGCCGAATCTGAAAGATGGCGGATCGAAGCAGAATGAAATGGTAAGTAAAAAAAAGTGTGGAAATTATTTTTATAAAATTTTCTAATAATTTTGTTTTTAAATTTTCAGGTTTTGTTCCAGATGGGCCGGTGGACTTTGGATTAAGGTGGTTCCGGAAATCTAAGGTAAGTGAAATAAATTATATTTGAAATATAAAAAGTGGACTTTAGTGAAAATTAAAATGTGGTTCGGTGCATAAAAAAAATTTTGGTTACAGTTTGCGTTAAAAGTGTGAGTGCCGGGTAAAAAAAATTTTAATCGTATAAAATAAAAATAAAAAAATTTTAATAAATTTAAAATAATTTCGGTTCGGGTTTTGGAAAAAGTGAATTCGGATAAAAAAAATTATTTTGGAATTTATAGTGCGTGCAAAAAGTAAACGGACAAAAAAAAATTACTTGAAAAAAAGTTTTAAAATCGTTTCGCGTAGATTAATTAAAAGTGAAAATGTTAAAAAAAATTATTTGATCGGAATTTACAGTGAGTGTCAAAAGTGTACGGACAAAAAAAATTAATTTGATGAAAAAAAGTTGAAAAAAATAAAATTGTTTAGGAAATTACAGTGGTTCTGAAAAGTGACAAAAAAATTGAAAATCTAAATTTGGGAGATACAGTGAGAACCAAAAGTGAAGTGGAAAAAATTTTTTTTATTGTTTTTCTTTTTTCTTCAAATACAGTAGGTGTAAAAAAGTGAAAATTTTTAGTAACTGGATCTAATAAGTGAGACCAACGGAAAATAAAGTTTGAAAATTTACTGTGGCCATCAAAAATTTGTGAATCAGTTAAATTTAAAACAAAATTATTTGTGTAAACAAAAATTAAGTGAACAGTGACCAAAACCTTTTGTAACCAAACTAAATGAAAAATTATTAGAGAAAACTAAAAAAAAATCAAACCGATCCTAAATGGATAAAATAAAAGAAAAGTGAAAATAAAATTATTTCTCCAATTATAATATCTTTGGTTTTAATTCAAAATTAATAAATTTATAAATTTTCTTTTACTTTCAGGTAATAAAATTCAATTTGGACCTGGGATTTGGCCTTGGTTTGCTGCTTCCGTTCAGGAAAGGTAAGTAATTATAATTTCATCTATATTAAGTTTATTTTATATTTACGACTTAATCGTAGGAACTTTGGTAGAAATGCAAGGACTAAGTTCACCAAAGCTCTTAGACTAAGGCCTAGAGACTTTGGCGAGAAATACCCCTTACAATTTCTCCGCACTTAAACGTAAAAATATTCAAAAATAAAATTATTTCGAAAAAAAAATATAAAGTGTAATTTTCTAAAAGGAATCGTAAAAAAAACACAATTTGTTTTTGGCTTGAAATTCAGTTTGTCCTTTTAGAAGATTACAAAAATCTAAATTAACTTTACTAATTATATTTTATTTATCTTCCCAGGTTATAAATTCAGATGGGACCTGAGCCGGAAGACTGGAGGTGAAGTATTTCGGACCAAATTATGATCCAAAAAGGTAAGTACTAACTAGTACTAAAGATATCTAAATCATTTGATTAGACATTGTAAATGGCTTGTATCATTCAAACTTATTTCAGACCACATACTCATTGTTTTGTTTTTCTTTCCACAGGTTTTAATCATCAAATCCTTTGTTCCTGCAGAAAATCAACAATACTAGCCAACTGAGGAACAAGTTCCTGTCACCGAGTATAATATTGGTGAGCGAAAAATTTAAGTTACCTATTCTAACATCTAATATTAAGTTGGATACTCGTCGCAGCTTTGCTCCCAGACACTTCAAATTGCTAAATTTTAGTCAGCGCTTAGATGACTAATATTTCCTAACCCTGAGTGCATGGTTCCAAAGGGTGCAATGACGGAATTGTATCTATGACTAGCGTCTGACGATCACAACGTGGTCATAAATCATAAATTATTAGACTTAGTCTGGTTGAGCACTCGGCGAACTACTCGTTAACGGGCAAACTATCACGACTGTTTACTGTTCCACAACACAAATGAGCTTCCCTGGTCGCAGGCTTCCACTAAAAGAAAAATAAACAAACTATTAAATAAAATAAAGGCAAAAATATCATTAACAAAAAGTTTGGGGTAGAAAACATTTACTAACTCATTTATACAAAATACAGAAAATAAAATAGGTTCTATCATTTTGGTTAGAGCTAGGAGTAGGTAAACTCGTTGGGACTAGAACCACCAAAGATGTTGAAACTATTGTTTCAAATCTTTGGCATGAAATACCCCCAACGATTTTCCTTGAAGGTCTTCAACCTCGTATAGGCTATTACCAATAGGTCTGACAATTCGGAATTTTAAAAATTTCTTGGCTAGTTTAGCATTAAAATTATTTTTGAAATCGCTTTGCTGAAAGTTGCGGCGATAAACCTCTTGACCTGGTACAAACTTGACTTGACGGCAACGGGTATTGTATGTCTTCTCGTTTTTCAAATAAGCTTTGTGCAGATTCTCACGAATTCTGTGCCGTACTAAGTCCATTTTTACGGGTTTTGGTACTATGTCGATTTCCGAATCAAGAAGACATTGTAGTTTCTTAGCAAGCTTATATACACTTCCGTGCGAAGTCATGTTCATACCGAACAGTGCGAAGTACGGCGTAACTCCAATAGACGTTTGGACTGACGAACGCAACGAAAACTCAATTTCGGATAGGTACTTATCCCACTCAGTGTGGTCCTCCTGCAGGTAGGAACGAATTGCGGACAGGATGGACTGGTTAACCCGTTCCGAAGCGTTGGCTTGTGGCGAGTGTGTGGCAGTTTTGACATGCTTTACGCCAAAATTCGTTACCATATCCTGAAACTCTTTGCTAATAAAGTGCTTGCCATTGTCGGACAGAATCGTCTCAGGTGTACCAAATTTGTGGAACACTTCGGATATTAGGAACTTGATGACGTTTTTCCTGTTAGCTTTGGGCATAGCTTTGAGCAGTACATATTTCGTTAGGTGGTCTAGGACGATAAATATGTAAGCGTTTCCGTTTCTTGACCGCGGATAAGGCCCCAAATAGTCTATAAAAATCTTCTGGAACGGTCGTTCCGTCGTAGATTCAGCTCCCATTGGTGGTCTTAGGATCGAATTCGCGGGTTTTGTCTCGCGACAGGTTTGGCAATTGGCCACAAATGACCGGACCTGAACATTCTGGTTGGGCCAGTAGAAATATTCCCTTAACCTTCGGAGCGTTTTACCAAAACCTCCATGAGCGGCTTGAGGCGGATTGTGGCACTTCTCGATGACTTCTTGAGTAAGCTCTAATGGAACACATAACTTCCAGGCAAAATCTTCGTTTAGCGACACTCCGTCATATGGGAGGACCCGTTTGTAAACCAGATCATCCACGACCTTCAAATCTGGCAGGCTTTCAGCGTTTTCCTTGATTTTGGTGATTAAGTCCAGGTAACTTTGACCTTTGAAATACTCAGACTCCAAATCTATTAAATTATTTACCTCCACAGATACTTCCTCCATGTTATACCTCGACAAGGTGTCGGGAACGATATTTTTGGATCCGGGCCGGTGTTCGATGGTAAAAGTAAAGGCCTGTAGATGTAAGCTCCATCGGGCTAGTCTACCACTGAGGTCTTTGTGGGACATAAGCCATTTTAGGCTGCTATGGTCCGTGATGACGGTAAATGGCAAAAGTTCTATATAAGGCCGGAATTTTTTTATTGCCATTACTACGGCCAAGCACTCTCTCTCGGTAACCGAGTAGTTCTTCTGTGCACTGGTCAGTTTGTGGGAGAAGAAAGCTACTGGATATTCGCCGTCGCTTTCGTCCTTCTGGAACAGAACTGCTCCCAAACCTATGTCTGATGCGTCGCATTGTATATAAAAGTGCCTGTTGAAATCGGGATGCATAAGCACTGGTGCTGTTGTGAGAGCGGACTTTAGCTTATCGAAGGCTTCCTTGGCTTCGTCCGGAAAGTTGAAACCTTTACCTTTCTTAAGGGTGTTAAAAATAGGTGTTGATATGGTAGCGTAGTCGGAGATGAAGCGCCTATACCAACCCGTAGCTCCCATGAAGCTTCGGACCTGTTTGGCGGTTTTTTGGTAGGTATATTTTAAAATCGTATCGATCTTATCTGGGTCAGGTTTTAACTTCCCTCCTCCTACTATATACCCTAGGTACTTCAACTCTTTGAAGCAAAATTTCGACTTCCCTACGTTGATGGTCAGACCCGCCGAATCCAGACAATGCGCTACCCGATCCTGCAACTCCAGGTGAGTCTCAAAGTCTGGAGAATTTTGCTACCACCACGTCTAATGCCGCCTTTTGCCCTGGAGTAAGACTATGGGTTTTAATCATATCCTTCGTCTCTTCAGACTCCGGACACAAATTAACTCCATTGGTAGTAATGCTGCGGGAACAAACCAAAACTTTTCATAAAATCTACCCCTAAAAATAGAGGCCTATTTAAAGTAGGTACTAGATATAAAGTCACTTCATTACAACAATTATTAAAATTAACTTCGGTTTTTACTCGACCAACAATTTTATGTGGACTGCCGTCGGCCGTCTTTACATAGGACAAAAATTTAAGAATTTGAAGACCTGATTTCTCCACCAATTTCATGCAGCCTTTACCCAGACAAGAAACGGTGGCTCCACTGTCTAACAGACCATCAATCTCATTACCATTTACATTAATTTTTAAATAAAGTCTAGCATCTTTCCCCTCATACAAACTCGTAGACAAAATTTCCTTCTTGACCCTTCTCCTAATCTTATATCTAAGTCTAGCTTTTCTTATTCTATTCGATACCTGACCGAAAATCCTAGATCTTACTTCAGCGTATTCCCGAAGCCTTTGATGAAGCGGTTTAATTACATGAACTTTGGCTTGTTCATCGGCAGGCATTATGCGTACAGTATTCATTAGAATTTTAGTTGGTCTAAATTGATCGATACGAGGGTCAACCGGGATTAAGCTAGGGTTGAACGAGTCTCCCCGTTTGGAACTCGTTCCCCTTCAGGTTTCCCTGACATTTAGGGCACTTAGGCGTGACTGCATCATCCCTACCACATCTAAAACAAAATATGCGTCTATTAGGTGAAGGACAGTTCATGAAACTATGGCCTGGCTGCTTACAATTCCAGCAAATATACCGGCTACTAGTGGCTAAGGCGTCGATTTCGAGGATTGGTATAGGCACTTCATCTCCAAACTGGAGTTCATGGACTCGAGCTGTGGCGGGTTGTCTAGACTGGAAAGTCTGCCTCTGACTGGTGACTAAATTTTCAGCTCTTTTCGCCTGTTGACAAAACTCATATAGACTGGAAGTGGTCACGGAAAATAGCAAGTGCGACAAAGACGGTTTCAGATTACTTTTCATAATCTCCACTAGGTCTCGATCCGAATAGGGATTTCGCTGTTGATTTCTTAGCTTCATCACACCATTGTAAAAACTCTCAAAACTTTCCTGAGGCAACTGGCGTCTGTCCATAATTTGTTTCTGGAGCTGGAATTCGCTTTCATAACGCTTAAACTGGGTCAGAAAAGCTCTAACCAACTCTTCCCAGGACTGTATTGCTGTGAGCTTCCGCAAGTTCCAGTACCAGTCCACTGCTGGTCCTTCCAACAGTACATGAAAACTTCGTAAAAGCTCATTGAAGGAACAGCTGTAATCCTGCCTCAAGACATCAATACGGAAAATGAAATCCTCCGCACTCATGGATTTCGTCGACCCATCAAATTTTATGCCCCATTTGGACAAATCTACCTTCCGCTGGGTGGAAAATGGGTGGTCGTTTGGCAGACTAGGAGCTTGTGACGATTGAGCTGTTGGAAAAAGTGGATTAAATCCTGGATTTGGCGGTGGATAATACGGCTGCTGGTTAACTGCTGGACCTTGTGTCGGCTGAAAAGCATATGGCATCTGGTTGTTATTAACAGGTATGTTCATTTGGGATTGTGGTTGTATATTATATAATAAATTATTCTGTTGTTCAACAGGTGGTGGTGGCACCGCTGGCTGTGGAGGCGATGCATCTGAAACAGCACGTGATATGGCTTGAGAAAGTTCCTGCCGTATAGCTTGAATTTGTCGCCTCATTTCCTCCCGTATAAAATTACACATATCGGCTGTAGCTTCAACATTATTAGCAGGCTGAGGAGCTGTAGGAGGCACACTAGCACGAAATTCTTGCTGCACATTTCTGGCGGTGATACTGCTATACTCAGGAAATGTTATGGTGCTATTTGAAATGGCCGATTCATTATGAAAGCCAGAACGTTCATGGGCTATTGTCATAAATTGTTGGACTGCTGGCGTAACGTACGACGTAGTAGTGGTTGTTGTAGCACTGGTACTGGCGATAGTATACGTCGGATGCGAAGTGGAAACTACAGTTCCTACCGTGTTTCTATTAACGTTCTCCATATTCGGAATATTTCTATCGTCAGCTTGGAAACGACTTCTAGCTGAGCGAGTTAATACC